ACTCTCTGCCCCGGAGTGTGGGGGAGGCTCCTTCTTTGGAAGCTTTTAAACAGAGGCTGGATGGCCATCTGTTGGGGGTGCTTTGAACACAATTTTCCTGCTTCTAGGCAGGGGGTTGGACTGGATGGCCCATGAGGTCTCTTTCAACTCTATGATTCTATGATTTCATGGCAAGATTGGTTCAAAATCTGAAGCAAAAAGTGTTTGACTTGCCTAAGATCATCTAATAGGTATTGTGCCTCAGCAAGGATTCAGATTCTGATCTCCAAAACTGTAGCTCAAAATTCAAAATACTGTGCCATCCCAGGCCCTACTAAGTCTTTTAGGGTTGAAAATGGAGCAGCAAGGGAAGTGCCTCTTACACTGAAATGGTTGAGGTCTGTAGCTTGACGTGTTGTCGAAGGCTTTCATGGCCGGAATCACTAGGTTGCCGTGTTTTCCGGACTGTATGGCCATGTTCCAGAAGCATTCTCTTCTGCTGTTTTGCCCACATCTATGGCAGGCATAGCTTGATGTTCTTGACCTTAATAACTGGTGGGCTTTCTGGGATGGAAGGCAAGGGCTCTTCTTCCCCTTGATTTGGGAGACAAACTGCATCCGGGGAGGCACACAGAAGACCCACATTTTGAACTATTATGGCTGCGAGCCTCTTGGAAATATGGTCTCAAAAATTCAGAAACAACATCAGCGAAACCTTCTGGGGCAGTGTTTCTCAACCTTCCTAATACCGCAACCCCTTAATACAGTTCCTCAGGTTGTGGTGACCCCCAACCATAACATTATTTTCGTTGCTACTTCATCACTGTAATTTTGCTACTTTTATGAATTGTAATGTAAATATAGGACATGCAGGATGTATTTTCATTCATGGGACCAAATTTGGCAATACCCGATACGCCCAAATTTGAATACTGGTGGGGCTGGGATGGATTTATTTTGTCATTTGGGAGTTGTAGTTGCTGGGATTTATAGTTAAACTACAATCAAAGAGCATTCTGAACTCCACCAACGATGGAATTGAACCAAACTTGACACACACAACTCCCATGACCAACAGAAAATACTAGAAGTGTTTGGTGGGCTTTGACCTTGAGTTTTGGAGTTGTAGTTCACCTACATCCAGAGAGCACTGTGGACTCAAACAATAATGGATCTGGACCAAACTTGGCATGAATACTCAATATGCCCAAATGTGAACACTGGTGGAGTTTGGGGAAAATAGACTTTGACATATGGGAGCTGTAGTTGCTGGGATTTATAGTTCACCTACACTCAAGGAGCATTCTGAACCCCACCAACAATAGAATTTGTCCAAACTTCCCACAAAGAACCCCCATGACCAACAGAAAATACGGTGGTCTTTGGGGATCCCTCTGACCCCACCCCCCCCGGGGTCCCAATCCCCAGGTTGGGGGGGTTGGTCATTTTACAGTCAAAATAAACATGTTTCCTTTGCCATGTGTAAATATTGACTCAACCTTTAAAGGCAACTCTTCATGCATTTGGTGAAATGGACCTTAGTCAACAGCCTTATCACAAACACAAGAGCTTAAAGAGTGGGCAAAGAGTATGCATCCCATCTGAAATCCTATGCCTACTTCCTGCAGAATTCTGGGGCTTGCAGTTTAGTGAGGCATTTTGAAGGCCCCTCCCCTAAACTACATGCCCCAGAATTCTGTAGGAAGCTGCCAAAGGATTTCAGATGGGATGCATATTCTTTCCTTATTCTTGAAGCTTTAGTGTGAAGCTTATGCCGTCATACATTTGCAGGTCTTTTAAATAACAAGATTTCCCAATGTTTTGTAGGTGTTGCCTTGCCTTCCGTCCAGCATGGCTCTTTGGCTTTGGCCTCTCCTGGTTCTCCTGAGGGCAGAGGATGGAGTGGCTGAAGACACAGCTTTCAAAGTCTGTAGGCTTCAAGGCTTCAAGGAGAAAGTGCTGGAGGTGTTGCCAGGAGGCGGCTGGGACAATTTGCGCAATGTGGACATGGGAATGGTGATGAGCCTCAATTATTCCCAGTGCCGGACCACCGAAGATGGACAGTACCTCATTCCCAATGATGTCTATGTGGTGCCCCTCAAGAAGAGCACGGTGGAAGTGCATTCAGAGATTATTGAGGACTGGCTGAGCTACACTGATGCCTTTGCTTCATCCGTCAATGCAGAAGCTTCTTTCCTTTCTGTGCTCAATGGCAAGTTCTCGACCGGCTCCCAGGAGACAAAGATGCACAATGTCTATGATGAGACGGTGACCACACGGGTGCAAGTGCGGTATCACATCTACTCTGTGAAAGCCCAGCCCACTTTCACCTTGAACAAGGATTTCCGCCATCAGCTGCTCACCATAGGCAACCAGCTGGAGAACAACCAGAGCCGGACCGCTGAGTATCTTGCAGAGATGCTGATTCTCAACTATGGCACCCATGTGCTCACAGGTGTGGAAGCTGGAGCCAGCCTAATCCAGGAGGACCAGGTGAAGCGCAGTTTTGTGTTGGACAAGGAGTCTGAGAAAGCAGGCATCACTGCCTCAGCCTCAGCTACGTTTTTCAGCAAAGTAAATGTGGGAATCAATTTTTCGATGCAAGCCTCAGATGATCTGACCAAGGGTTACCTAGAAAACACAGTGGATTCCAAGCTTGAGAGCTGGGGCAGTGTGCCTTTCTACCCTGGGATCACCCTTCAGAAGTGGCAGGAGGGCATCCCCAATGGCTTAGTGGCCATAGGCAAGTCTGGGTTGCCCCTGCCATTTTTCATCACAGCTGAGGCCTTACCAGAACTGCCAGAACCAACAGTTACACGTGTGGCGGCTTTGGTGGAAAATGCTATCCGCCTCTACTATGCTGTAAACACCCACCCAGGCTGTGTCAAGCCTGATTCTAGCAACTTCAACTTCCAGGCCAATGTAGATGATGGGTCGTGTCAAGCCTCCAACACTAACTTCACCTTTGGTGGGGTCTTCCAGGAGTGTCATGGTGTAGCTGGCCAGGACACAGAAGAGCTCTGCCAGTCATACCAGGTCCAGAACCCACTGACAGGGGGATTTTCTTGCCCAGCTAACTTTACCGCCATCTTGCTGCATGGAGAACAACGCACCACAAACAAACCCAAGACGGAGTGCCACGATCAGTGCCATTCCTGTTGGCTTTTGTTTTCCTGCTGTAATAGAGTCTGTGGCATTCACTACTACCCCACCACAGTGATGTTCAATGCCTACTGGTGTGCTGCCACAGGTCCAGTGCCTCAGAATTCAGGATTCCTCTTTGGGGGATTGTATAGTAGTGGGAATGAGAACCCCATTACTAGCAACTATGCCTGCCCAGCCTACTTCTTCCCATTGGAACTATTTGATAGCCTCAAGGTGTGTGTCAGTAGTGACTATGAGATGGGAACGCCCTTTGCGGTGCCCTTTGGTGGCTTCTTTAGCTGTCAGTCTGGTAATCCTTTGGCCGGGTTGCTGAAGGGACAGAGCCCTGGGATCCTCCAGGACTTTTTCTACCAGGAGTCCTCCACTCAATATCCCATGAAATGCCCATCTGGAAATAGCCAACATAAGGCCTACATCAGTGATGGGTGTGAAATCCTCTACTGCTTGCAGGCCGGGACCCTTTTCGCTCAGCAATTAGCTCCTATCAAGCTCCCACCCTTCTTACTTGCACCAACTTTAAGTGGCGATCTTCCTGAAACCATCCTAGTACGCTCAGATGGTAGCTTGGCCTGGGTGAAAATGCCCCAGAGTGGGAGCTGGCGGCTGGCTAATGCCACGGATGAAAAGCAAATGGCTTTTCTTTTACAAGGTACGCAAACGTCGAGGCTATCTGCAGGCAGCATTGCTGGAATTTCAGTCTCCATGGTTGCTGTCCTGCTAACAACCATTGCTCTTGTGGTATACAGAATCCGGCGGTACAAGACAAGAGGTTACCAGGAAGTTTCCAACGAGCATCTAGTAGTGGATCAAGGGGACTATGGAACAACAGCTCCAGAACTCAATGCTGCCTGAGACACCGTTTAACCAGCACCCTGTACCAAAAAAAATCCTAAATTCAGGGAAGGTGCGAGTCAAGTCCAGGAAGTAGGGGATCAGAATCGATGCATTGTTGTGGGGGTGAGGGGTGAAGAAGACAATAATTGAAATTTCCAAGTATTGAATCTGCGTATAGACGTTTTGTAGCCAAATGTTTTTTTTTATTAAACATACCATTAATGTTTCATTAGAAATGAGTAAGTAACAAAAACCAAAGAACTAGTGATGGTGGAGGCCTCTTCTTTGGAGGCTTTTAAACAGAGGCTGGATGGCCATCTGTCGGGGGTGCTTTTGAATGCGATTTTTCTGCTTCTTGACAGGGGGTTGGACTGGATGGCCCATGAGGTCTTTTCCAACTCTATGTTTCTATTATTCTATCTAGCAGTTACTATGCATTTTGGGCTAGACTTATACAGAAGGGAAAAGCAGTTAAGGTCTTTGTCTACTTGCCTGTTTTAAACAGATGTGTGAGCAGAGGGGAAAGCATTGGTTCTGGGAGCAGAAGATTAAAAATAATTGTGATGTTTAATTTCAAGGCAGGGCAACTCTTGTGAGAGAATATCAAGGGTTAGCAACTTTGATCTGCATATTTTGACATTTTTTGCTTATTTTTATTGTGCCTTGACCGTGACCAACTCATACTTGATACTGTAAAAAAAAAATTGAGAAATTGAACTAAATAGAAAAAAAATCCCTTTGACAGCCACTAAGAGTGTCTTTTTTCTCAACTTAATAAACATTTGGATAAGTAAGTGGTTATTGTTGTTGTTATTCTGGTTTGAGGAGCCCCCGGTGGTGCAGTGGGTTAAACCCTCGTGCCGGCAGGACTGAAGACTGGGGAAAGCGTGGATGAGTTCCCTCTGTAGCTCCAGCTCCCCATTCAGGGACATAGAGAAGTCTCCCACACGATGGTAAAACATCTGGGCATCCCCTGGGCAATGTCCTTGCTGACAACCAATTCTCTCACACCAGAAAGAGCTTGCAGTTTCTCAAGTTGCTCCTGACATGGAAAAAATTTTTGTATGATCACTTTTCCTCGCTCTGTTACTGCATGGATGTTGACTAGTGGACATGGGAGCTGGGTCAGGAGGGAATTTTTGAATTCGGGAGAAGAATTCAACAAGTATAGCATTCCTACTTATTCTTTAGTCAAGTAGCCATGCTAATTTATCATTCCAAAAAAAAAAAGCAACATCATAATTATTATACATTGAGCTCATCACAGACTGCAGCTGATATCACCAGATGCAACTAATAAGAACTTTTGGATTACAGGTGAGAATTATACTCCAAACATTTTCCTCTCCAAGCTTGGCAGCGAATGTGTTGTCCACGAAAGCTTATAGCATAATAAAATTTGTGAGTCTTTAAAAGGCCTCAAGTCACATTTAAAAGAATGTAGTTGCATTAGAGAAGTGCAGATCAATTTAGCCTTGGGAGAGTCAAGCCAAATGTGCTTGATAATATTCCAGCATACTTTACTCCCCCAACTTCCGTAACACGGCTTTTCTATTCTGTCCTTTGAAGGAACAAAGTGATATTATTCTAGTTTATCGTCACAACACCACAGTTAGGTAGGCTATGCTGACAAGTAATTACTTGCTCAATGTTATGCATGAAATTTCAGAGTTCAACAGACATTTGAAGCCAATTAATGTTGGTTAATGTCCAGCATCCTGTCTGCTGCATTTCACTGGCTTTTCTGATGAAGCTTCTTTTCTAACAATCCAGAAGAAGGATGTTATGTACATTTACTTGGAGATTCAGATCTAAGCTTTCCTGAACCATCCTTGGAGATGTAAGGATTCAACTTAGGGGCTTTTGTATTCACAACAAGGGCTCAACTACTGAACTAGCTTGGGATTGTGCCTTGAATCTCATTTGTATGAACCCTAGGCCCTTGCTTTTCCTTCTTGGACTGCAAGGAGAAGATGTATGAGATATTATCTCAGCTCATCAAAAAGATGGCAAGGAAATTGCACAATCGTTTTCCAGACAGCTAGAAGAAGACATGTGACTCTTTCAACAAGTCAGCAATTCCCACTGGGCTGATTCACTTCATGTTGTAGCTGGTTTTACTCACAGCAAAGCGCACAGATGGTCAGGTCTCTAGATGGGATTTTTCAGAATTTTGTGCAACACATATGCATTTGTAGTCACTGAAATACATTGTGTCAAAGCCAAAAATGACAATGCCCTCTTTATTTGCTTCCCATGGTATCTGTGTTCTAGAAAAGAGCACTTTGGCACCAAGGTCTGTCTTCTGTAAATATGTAAAATGCCCTATACACTGATTATACTATCAAAATAAGAATTCCTACTGCTGGGTAAAACCAGATTATTAGGTTCTGGTGTGAACTGTAAAGCAAGGCACTGCCACTCCTGGTTCCCTGGTTCTTGGTAGGGCATGCCAAAAGCCATAGGGTATTATGGGGTTACTCTGTAGAAGGAGGGGGAGGTCTAGCTTGGGATAGCCCCTTAAACAATGGAAGAAGATCTGTTGCTACTGTTGAATATATGGCTGAAATATACCTGTCTTATGAAGCAAAAGGAGCAGAAAAAGAAGTCGGTCATTTGGCATTAATCTCCATGGTTAAGTGATGAATTAAAGTCTTTTATCTCCAGTGTGCTCAAACACGCTGGAGATAAAACACACTGGTTATTGTGGTCAAGATTTAAAGGATAAGAAATGGGTATCTTCACACACACACAACTTACCAGCTCTATCTAGATAAATATCTATTGAGTAGTTATAATAATAACGTACTATAAATCTGATACATCACATCTGTTTAATGTGTTTAATCCTAGAAGAATGTGTGTTCTTATTGCAAAACATTTAAGGCACATTGGGTAGGTAAATACTTGCTAAATCAAACCAGTTAGTCTTCTGAGATATATAATGAAGACAGGTTCTGGAGCCTTCATCCAACCAACCTCTGACATGAAACCATTATTCTTTTGACAATAAGCTGAAAAGGAAAACAGGTTTAATAAGAGATGGTGGTGGACAGAGCAATAGAGTTGGTTTTACTCCTATGAGGTTGGAATAACTTCCAGAATCCTTTGTTTTTCTCTTCTAGTTCTTCCATATTTTCCATATGTAAGAGGGTAATTCAGCATTTCTTAACCTATGCGTTGGGACCCGGGGGGGGGGGGGGGGGGGGGGGGGGGGGGGGGGGGGGGGGGTCGCCAAAGACAGTATTTTTTGTTGTTCATGGGGATTCTGTGCGGGAAGTTTGGCCCAATTCTATTGTTGGTGGAGTTCAGAATGCTTTTTGGTTATAGGTTTACTATAAATCCCAGCAACTACAACTCCTAAATGTCAAGGTCTATTTTCCCCAAAATCCACCAATGTTCACATTTGGGCATATAATTCTGATGCATCACATTGAGGAGGAAATGGGAAAATCTGACATGAAATCGGGAAGTAGTCAGTGAGCATAAAACATAAACAGCAACCAAATCCCTCACCATACAAATTAGTGGTGGATAGGAGAGACTAAAATCAGCTTAGTCAAAACATTAAAGCTGGTGTTAGAGGCTTTGCTTCAGTTATTACACTGGTTATCATTTATCCGGAAGAATAAAGTGTCCCTCATCTGCAAATGTCCTTGAAAAAGAGCTGCATGGTGACATGATGTAGTACTGTGTAAGAGACCATGCTGTCCTAGGACTACAGCCAGACTGTAGCAAGCAGACACGCAACAACTTGAGGTGGCAGCAGAATTTACTTGAAGACAAGGCATTCCTCTTAAAAATTGTACAAGTTTACCCATCCCAACATGATTATAATGCAATGTTTCTCAACCTGGAGGTCGAAACCCCTGGGGGGGTCATGAGGGGGTGTCAGAGGGGTTGCTAAAAGCTATCAGAAAACACAGTTTTCTGTTGGTCATAGGAATTCTGTGTGGGAAGTTTGGCCCAATTCTATCATTGGTGGGGTTCAGAATACTCTTTGATTGTAGGCAAACTTTAAATACCAGCAACTACAACTCCCAAATGTCAAGATCTATTTTCCCCAAACTCCACCAGTGTTCATATTTGGGCATATTGAGTATTCGTGCCAAGTTTGGTCCAGATCCGTCATTGTTTGAATCCACAGTGCTCTCTGGATGTAGGTGAACTATAACTCCAAAACTCAAGGTCAATGCCCAACAAACCCTTCTAGTATTTTCTGTTGGTCATGGGAGTTCTGTGTTCCAAGTTTGATTCAATTTCATCGTTGGTGGAGTTCAGAATGCTCTTTGATTATAGGTTAACTATACATGCCAGCAACTACAGCTTTCAAATGACAAAATCAGTACCCCACAATCTCACCAGTATTCAAATTTGGGTGTATCGGGTAGTTTGGTCCAGTGAATGAAAACACATCCTGCATATCAGATGTTTCATTATGCTTCACAACAGTAGAAAATTATAGTTGTGAAGTAGCAATGAAAATAATGTTATGGTTTGGGGTCATCACAACATGAGGAACTGTATGAAGGGGTTGCGACATTAGCAAGGTTGAGAACCACTGGTATAGTAGCTAAGACATGCTCCAGGTCTTCTAGAGCTAATAAGAGATTGGAACAGGATTTCACAGTTCCTTTGTCATTGTTTGAAGAAGATTTAACTGCCAGTCCTACTGGCCTTTTCACATGGAATTGGGATGTAACAGACTCCCATCTTGACCTTCACTTTGGGCTACAACATGTCTTGGGCTCGCTTCAGTAATATCTGAGGGATCATGAAGGAGTTCTATCACACAGAATGTCAATGAGATAATCAGGCCTTATCTGCTTTCTATGCTCAAACTGTTAGGAAGATCAATATTGCAGCCATTTAAAGTAATGTAATTTCAAATTCTGCAGTACCACCATTGTAATTCAGCATTGTGGTAAGCTAAGACATACACAGTAGTTTTTTCCTGCTTTAATAAACCATCCTTATTTTCTCAAAGAAGTTGATTTTAAGTAGAATGAAGTAAATTCCATTACTGTTCTAACTAAACCAGAAAAAATGTTTATTTAAGAAAGTAAAGACTGCTTATTGGAGTAAGAAGAAAAAGAGATCCTGCAATGACAGCCAATAACTGCCACCATGTCGGCAAAAGAGGTTCATCATCCCATGCCTACATATGCAAAGCAGATGCCTTCTTACAATCTTACCTCTCAAAATGCATGCCCTTGGTTATATTGTTTACACTTTGCCATAGTTTGTACATTGCATTCCAAAAGTTTTTCTTCTTTTTTTTGTCCTGTTTTCACTTCTGTTAAATAAATAAAGTCTGGCTGAACGTTCACATACAGAAAAGAGGAACTAAAGTTATATTAAGTGTCAAGCCTACCATGAAAACATTGGTTGGGGTTTTTTAGACATGTTGCAAACAGAGTGAAACCATCACTTCCAATCAGAACATGAAAAACCCTAAAACTAAATTAGTCACAGAAATCCCCCTCTCTTAACATTCAGATGCTTGGTTGGCTCATATACAGGGTACTAGAGATCAGACAGGATGCTTTGGTTGCTAGTTCTCAGAGACAATTTAACACTAATCTCTCAGTTGTACTGACGGTGTAAACAATAAAACACGCTGCACCTGTCAACATGAAACTTTTGATGATGAGGATGATGAAGATGATAGCAAGTGCAGTCTTGGCAGCATTTTGTTTGTGCTTCACATGAAAGGTGCCAAGTATATTCTCTATTTGATATTTTTCTACATGCCACTGATGGGTGCAAAAAAATCATTCTGTTGAGATATCCC